GATCTCAAAATAAAATGTTTAATTTAAAAACAAAGAATAGGGGCTTCCCTGGTGGTGCGGTGGTTGAAAGTCCGCCTGCCGATGCAGGGGACACGGGTTCGTGCCCCGGTCCGGGAAGATCCCACATGCCGTGGAGCGGCTGGGCCCGTGAGCCATGGCCGCTGAGCCTGCGCGTCCGGAGCCTGTGCCCCGCAACGGGAGAGGCCACAACAGTGAGAGGCCCACGTACTGCAAAAAAACCCAAAATAAATAAAATAAATAAAAACAAAGAGTAAAAACATAATAGATAAAAAGACACAAGAAGAAAAAAGAAGAAAAAAAAAGACACAAGAGAAGTGCAGGGTGTTATGAGGACTGTGGTGAAATTAAACAGGGGTATGTGATAGAATGTGATGCTCCATCTTGGTTGAGTCATCAGAGTTGAGAGTTAGACCTGTTCAGAGTAAAGATCCCTGGTTGTAAAGACTAGAAAATCACTTCAAAAGGAACTTATGTAAAAGAAGGGAATTTATAGAAAGTAATTGTGTAAGAACTTTTGTTGCCAATGAAAGAAACCCAATTCACACTGGCTTGAGGGGGGAAAAAAATCCAAAAAAGGAATTTGGGCTCCTATGATTGAAAGTCCAGGAGTAATGGCTTCAGCTCAGGGATCTAGCTCCTTTTTGTGGCTCTGCTTCCTTTTGAGTCAGCTTCATTCTCGGGGGAGGGGGTGACCAAATGGGCTCCAGCAGCTCCTGGCTCAAATCCCACCAGCTTGGCACCCCAGATAAAAGATGAGCCCTGCTTTCCCAATAGCTTCAGCAAAAGTCCTGGGAATGAGTCTCGATAGCCTAATTAGGGTGTCACATGTCCATCCCTGAACTGATTACTGTGGCCAGATGGAAGTGACACTCTCATTGGCCAGGCCTAGGTCATGTGCACACCCCTAAAGTTTGGGGGAGAGGCCAACCCCACAGGAACCACACGGCCCAAGAGGAGGGGAGTAGTGGTCCCTTTACAGAATGGGTGCTGGTCAGGCCAAACCAACAGACATGTACTCATGGAATCCCAGAAAAAGCCTCTGCTTCTTCATTCTCTGTCCTCATGTTCTGAATTTCCATCACTTCCGTTCAAACAGACATCCCAGATTGAGCTAGACCCTTCAGTTTCATTGTTCAGAAGAGAGAACACTGTATCTGACTGGACCAGCTTGGGCCAGATGTTCCGCCCTCCTCCAATCATCTGTGAACAGTAGGGTGGGGTCACCTACTAGTCCCTTTGATGGACAGGGCAGTTCTTAGAGGGTCCAGACTGACACCCTGCAGCTGTCTATTATAGGTACTCAGAGTTTCTAGAGGACCTAAATTAGTTTCTTATGAAAAAGCAGGGGAATCTCCTAAAGGTTTTTTTTTTTTTTTTGACATAGTGACAGTGCCAAAAGCTGGTGAGAGTGTGGAGCAACTCATCCATTGCTCTAGGAATCCGATTCAGTGATATAAAGGAACAAATGCTTGATACACACAACTTGGATGAATCTCCAGGGAACTATGCTGAGCAAAAAAAGCCCCAAACATGCATACTGGGTGATCCCATTAATACAGCATTCTTGAAATGACAAGATTATAGGAATGAAGAACTGATGAGTGGTTGCCAGAGGTTGGGAGCCATGTGGGTATGCCTATAAAATGGCAACAGGAGGGATCACTGTGGTGATGGATGGAAATGTTTTGTATCTTGACTGTATCAGTGTCAATATCCCGGTTGTCACTATATTTGCAAGATGTTACCATTGGGGGAAACTGGCTAAAGAGTACACAGGGATCTCTCTGAATCACCTCCTACAACTGCGTGTGAATCTGTAATGATCTCAAAATAAAATGTTTAATTTAAAAACAAAGAATAGGGGCTTCCCTGGTGGTGCGGTGGTTGAAAGTCCGCCTGCCGATGCAGGGGACACGGGTTCGTGCCCCGGTCCGGGAAGATCCCACATGCCGTGGAGCGGCTGGGCCCGTGAGCCATGGCCGCTGAGCCTGCGCGTCCGGAGCCTGTGCCCCGCAACGGGAGAGGCCACAACAGTGAGAGGCCCACGTACTGCAAAAAAACCCAAAATAAATAAAATAAATAAAAACAAAGAGTAAAAACATAATAGATAAAAAGACACAAGAAGAAAAAAGAAGAAAAAAAAAGACACAAGAGAAGTGCAGGGTGTTATGAGGACTGTGGTGAAATTAAACAGGGGTATGTGATAGAATGTGATGCTCCATCTTGGTTGAGTCATCAGAGTTGAGAGTTAGACCTGTTCAGAGTAAAGATCCCTGGTTGTAAAGACTAGAAAATCACTTCAAAAGGAACTTATGTAAAAGAAGGGAATTTATAGAAAGTAATTGTGTAAGAACTTTTGTTGCCAATGAAAGAAACCCAATTCACACTGGCTTGAGGGGGGAAAAAAATCCAAAAAAGGAATTTGGGCTCCTATGATTGAAAGTCCAGGAGTAATGGCTTCAGCTCAGGGATCTAGCTCCTTTTTGTGGCTCTGCTTCCTTTTGAGTCAGCTTCATTCTCGGGGGAGGGGGTGACCAAATGGGCTCCAGCAGCTCCTGGCTCAAATCCCACCAGCTTGGCACCCCAGATAAAAGATGAGCCCTGCTTTCCCAATAGCTTCAGCAAAAGTCCTGGGAATGAGTCTCGATAGCCTAATTAGGGTGTCACATGTCCATCCCTGAACTGATTACTGTGGCCAGATGGAAGTGACACTCTCATTGGCCAGGCCTAGGTCATGTGCACACCCCTAAAGTTTGGGGGAGAGGCCAACCCCACAGGAACCACACGGCCCAAGAGGAGGGGAGTAGTGGTCCCTTTACAGAATGGGTGCTGGTCAGGCCAAACCAACAGACATGTACTCATGGAATCCCAGAAAAAGCCTCTGCTTCTTCATTCTCTGTCCTCATGTTCTGAATTTCCATCACTTCCGTTCAAACAGACATCCCAGATTGAGCTAGACCCTTCAGTTTCATTGTTCAGAAGAGAGAACACTGTATCTGACTGGACCAGCTTGGGCCAGATGTTCCGCCCTCCTCCAATCATCTGTGAACAGTAGGGTGGGGTCACCTACTAGTCCCTTTGATGGACAGGGCAGTTCTTAGAGGGTCCAGACTGACACCCTGCAGCTGTCTATTATAGGTACTCAGAGTTTCTAGAGGACCTAAATTAGTTTCTTATGAAAAAGCAGGGGAATCTCCTAAAGGTTTTTTTTTTTTTTTTTTTTTGTACGCGGGACTCTCACTGTTGTGGCCTCTCCCGTTGCGGGGTACAGGCTCCGGACGCGCAGGCTCAGCGGCCATGGCCCACGGGCCCAGCCGCTCCGCGGCATGTGGGGTCTTCCCGGACCGGGGCACGGACCCGTGTCCCCTGCATCGGCAGGCGGACTCTCAACCACTGCGCCACCAGGGAAGCCCCCTCCTAAAGGGTTTTGCGATAAGGGATAGATGATGAATGGGGATCCCTGGGAGAAAGGTGGAATCCTCAGATTTCCCCTTGCTTTCCGTCTGGGTGCTCTGAGGCTGACACAGAGAAGAGCAGTGGGTATGGGAGGTGGGCTGCACTGACCTTGAGGAATGCAGGGGTAGTGATGTTGAGGGACCCAATGGGTGGCTGGTGGAAGGGGAGGCTGGAGGCCCTGAGACAGTGCAGCGTTGGCAGCAACAAAACTGAGCCCTTGATGTGTAGGAAACCAGTTATCAAGACAGAGACTGGGCAACAGGTACCTGGGAACCAGACCGGGTGCAACTGGAGCAAGGCGGGTACCCCACTTCTGGTTCTACATGTTACTGCACAGTCTTGATCAGAGGAAGCAGACAGGAGGCCATTTCTAGAGTGGGCGCTGGAGCAGAGAAGACCAGCATCCTGGCCAGCTGACTCTCCTAGCTCCACACCCCCCTTCCCTTCTCTCCAGATGTGGACAGGACAGATTCTTCAGCTCTGGTTGACATCCACATCAGGTGAGCGCAGCCAGGAGTCCCCAGCTGTGCCCGGAGGAAGTGTGAGCAGAGCGCCTTAATCTAACAGAGAAAGAGCTTGGAAACCAAGTCGGCTAAATTGGGAGATTGGGACTGACATATATAAACTAATATGTATAAAATAGATAACTAATGAGAACCTGCTGTGTAGCCCAGGGAACTCTACTCAGTGCTCTGTGGGGACCTAAATGGGAAGGAAAGCAAAAAAAGAGGGGATATATGTATACATATAGCTGATTTCACTTCGCTGTACATCAGAAACTAACACAACATTGTAAAGCAACTATATCCCAATTTAAAAAAAAAAAGAAGTGGGTAGTAAGGATGTTGATAATAGTGATGGCAGTAATGAGGGCAAACCTTTCTTGAGTGCCTACTCTTTCCAGGCGCTGTTCTAAGATATTTTTAGTGGGTCGTTTCCTTTAATCTTTGCAACAGGCCTGTGACATGGTACTCTATGAGGCAGAGAGGCGAAACACCTTTGCCAAGGTCACTCGTGAACAAGGGTGATTTAACTCTCATGGAAAATCAGCTACTAGGGCATCTGACCCCCCTCTACTTTTCCATCATCAACTCCAACTAACCTCCTCACACCCCCTCACTCGGCACCTCAAGCCTCCTACAGTTTGTGGCGTGCTTCCTACTGCCTCCTGTCTCCACGCCTTTCCACATGCTCTTCTCTCCTCCTGGAATGCTGCTCCCCCTAGTAAACTCTCACTCATCCTCCGAGACCGACTGCAAGCGTTGTTGTATTCTGGTCACTTTCCCTGATGACAACCTGTGGATGGAATGACTCGCTCTCTTCTTGCCTCCCAGTAATGAACTCTGTGGTGTCTGCATCACAATGTACAGATAACGTCTCCCAGGCCAGACCACGGGTGGGGCAGGGATCAAGTCTCATTCTTCTCTGCGGCAGCACATGCTCAGGTCTGGATGTCTGGTGGGTGTGGTTTTCTGTCCCCTGCCCACCCTCACCGTGGCACCTCTCTCCTCGTCTCTTGGCAGCCTGGCGTGGGGCTCCTTTACCTGCTGCATGGCAGCCTCTGTCACCACGCTCAACTCCTACACCAAGACGGTCATTGAGTTCCGGCACAAGCGCAAGGTCTTTGAGCAGGGCTACCGGGAGGAGCCGACCTTCATAGACCCTGAGGCCATCAAGTACTTCCGGGAGAGGTCAGTGCACATGGGGTCACCTCTGGCCACCACTGGGAATCAGAAGCCCGAGGCCCGGCCTCAGTGGCCACAGGCCGCCAGTCGAAAACTAGAGTGATCTGACAGAAGTGTTCTGGGGGGTTGCGGGTTGGAAGGGGCAGGCTGGGTGAGGCAGAGTTTGGACCCCACTATGTTGGAATTTCTGGGACATTTTAATGTTTTATGGGGCATGAGGTTGCCTTGGGCTTATGTGAACAGAGCCTGAGAAACCAAGAAGGGAATCAAGTTTGAGTGTTTGCCCTTGGGCCCCATGCTTCTTAGAACCAAGATAGGGTCACAGAGAGGCAGAACCAAGGTTTCCTTCTTGTGCTCTGTCACAGCACTGAGTGAAAAAAAAGACTCAGCAGTGGGATCGGTGACGGTTGCTAGAGGAGGAGGGCTCCTCAAGGTCAGGGACCACATCTGATCACCTGAGTCCTTAGAGTCCAGCTGGGAATAGAGAAGATGACAATAAATAGTAGGTGGATGGATGTATGGTTGGGTGGGTGGATGGATGGATGGACGGTTGAGTGGATGGACAGATGTATGTATGGTTGGGTGGGTGGTTATATGGATGAAGTGATGGATGGATGGGTGATGGATGAATGGATGCTGGATGGATGCATGGATGCATGGATGCATGGATGGATGCATGGATGGAAGGACAAGCAAATGGTTATCATATTTCCTGGGACCATCTCCTAAATAAACTACCTGTACCCAAATCTTTATCACAGCCTGCTTTTGGGGAGCTGATTGGACATGCCATAATGCCTTTTGGTGGCAGGGAACTGAAAGGTTCTCAGGACTGATGACAGAGTCTGAGGAGGAAAAGGGGGGAGGAGACTGTGGAGCTGGGCGGCATTGAGGAGTTGGACTCTCCGTGGGGCACATGGAAGGGTTTAAGCCAAGAAGTACCACGGTGGAGGATGGTGGGGGCCACACCGGAACCTCCCTCTGACTGCTACAGACCCCATCATCTCTCCCTTGCCCCATGAGCCTCCTTTCTGTCTCTTGAACACTACAAGCTCATCCCCACCTCAGGGCCTTTGCACCTGCTGTGCCCCTGCCTGGAATCCTCAGCTGGCTGGCTCACTCAGGTCTTAGCTCAGATGTCACGTATTCAGTGAAGCCTTCCTTAATCACTTCATCTAAATTTGTACACCCCCATACACCCTGTCCCAGTCACTCTTTATCATTGCTATTTTTTCATAGCACCTACACAACCTGACATTATTTTATTTGTTTATCTGTTTGGTAGTTTGTAGACCATGAGCTCCATGATGGAAGGGCTCTGCTGACTTCTGTATTTTGAGCACCACTGTATTTTGAGCACCGAGGACTGGGCCAGGCACCTAATAGGTGCTCATTTAACATTTTGGGGGTTAGTTTGGGGTGTGTGTGTGTGTGTGTGATTGGCTGAATACTTCTCTTTGGAGACCTCAGCCCTGACTGCCTTGTCTACTTTCAGCTCAAGCCCCACCATCACTGGGCAGGTTCAGCATCCCAGCGCCCCTTCATCAAAGTCCCAGGTCAGTTGTCCAGTCCTGGTCCTGTCAGGTGTGGTCATGGAGGTCAGGCCAGCCTGGCACACAGGTCCGCCTTGCTCATGGCTATGGACAGAGCACGTCCACTAGGAAGGTGGTGATGACTGGCAGAGCACAGGACCCATAGTAGGTGCTCAGGAAATGTTTACAGCAGCTACATGAGCAGCCTGGTGTCTAAAGCTGCTCCATTAACACCGCATCTTCTGTTACCTGGGCTGTGGGAGAGCCCGGAACATCCATGGGCACCCTCGTTTTGCTGAGGCAGAAGACAGGACCTCTTTGTACCTCATCAGCAAGAAGCTGCTGTTCGCTGGTCCTGAACAGCTCAGGCCCCAACAATGTGGGAGAAGATAAATGCTTCCCAGCATATGTGCAGAATATCACTTTACACGTTCATAACTTGAACATTATGCAGAGGTTCATCAAATTTTATTTCCCTTCCTCTCCAAGGAGAACATTTCAGCTTAGCTGGGCTGTTCTTTTTTTCTTTCTTTCTTTCTTTCTTTTTTTTGGTGCCTTCTCTGCAAAGAGCTCAGAGCACACAAACAGATGTCTACACAGGTCTGTGGGGACCCAGCAGCAGGGCTGAACTCCTGCAGTGGCCAGAGTCCCTGAAACCATAGCCAGGGACGTGAGGGAAGAGATCCTTGAGCCCCCCTGCCCACGTTTCTTACTCCTTGGGGAACAGGGCGTGCTGTGGAGAGAATAGGGGTTTGAGGGCCCCCCTGACCTGAATTTTCCAGTTCTGTCTTCTCACTGCTATGTGACTTGGGGCAAGTCACTGAGCCCCTCTGGGTCGATTTCCGCTGACCTAGAGTAGGAGAACCCAGAGCTCTCGTCATCTTGGGAAGGCTCAAATTGGACCCAGGTCACGTGGTAAGCACAGTGCGTGGCACATGGAGGGCATTTCATGTGTCCCTTCTGCGACTGATACAAAGTACAAAGCTTGGGAATGACTAGTTTAGGATGGAGGTGAAGACAGTGTTGTGGATATTGGGCATCTAAGAAGCACGTTAATAACCACAGCAGGGACTTCCCTGGTGGCGCAGTGGTTGAGAGTCCGCCTGCCAATGCAGGGGACATGGGTTCATGCCCCGGTCCGGGAGGATCCCACATTGCCGCGGAGCGGCTGGGCCCGTGAGCCATAGCCGCTGAGCCTGCGCGTCCGGAGCCTGTGCTCCGCAACGGGAGAGGCTACAGCAGTGAGAGGCCCGCGTACCGCAAAAAAAATAAAAATAAAAAATAACCACAGCAAACAGGTGGGCGAGGTGCGAGGTGGACTGTGAATACAGGAGAGCGCTGTGGGATAAGACGTGCCGTTGGAGAGGGTGCAGGTTTTCCCAGGCGCCCCCCGCCCCCGCCTTTGCCATTCCTATCAGTGGGGAGCCACCCCTGACTGAGTACAAGATGGTGCCCTGTGGAGGCTGATGGAGTAGGAGGGCCCATAGTGCTGCCCACCCCACTGCACCCCATCCCTGTCTTGCTGGATTTTTCTCTGCAGGAGCCAGTTGTGAGTCTGAAGAGTGATCGGGCAGATTCCGAACCGTTTTCAGAGGCTGTGAAATGTAGTGGTGTGTGGAAGAAAGGTATGGGTGTGTGTGTGTGTGTGTGTGTGTGTGTGTGTGCGCGCGCGCGCGCGCGCGGGCGCGTATGCATGTGTAGGGGCCAGTGTGCCCCTGTATGTTGGGCTTGTGGGGGAGGGCGAGCCTGCTTACTCTGAGCAGACTTGCCTGTCCCAGCTCTGAGAAACATCTGGCATTAAACCCTCCCAGCCTCACCCTGCCTATCGTCCCCAAGAAGGGCGTCTTAATCGGGCCTCCCAGGGGAGGGTCGAAAGCTGCAGGACGAAAGGTAAATATCTGCACATCGGGGCTTTCTTGAATGCTTGATGTTCAGATCTCGTTTAACAATGCGGGGAAGGAAATGAGACCCTGTTGGATTGGACTCCAGGGGGAATTCAACTGAGCCAGCATCCCGCTCCCAGGGAAGCCGCCGTGGGTGGGTGGGAGCAAAGGGCCGGGGCCTCCAGGGAGGAGCACAGCTGCCCTCCCCAGGGTCAGATCACCCCGTCACATGCCCTTGCTCCAAGGCATGAGGTGCGCGTCCCAGTCTCTGAACTTGTGCATGCACTTTATCTGCCTCCGCGCCAGAGCAGTGAGCTTTCTCGGCTTCTGCTCTGTCCCTGACACCTAGAGCCACAGATGCTCAACAAGTTATTAACTATCCATAGTAATTATATTGTTCATTATAGTGGTGCAGTCCCCTCTGTTGCAAGCACTGTTCGAGGGCCTTACCTGTACACTCTCACTTAACCCTGTGGAAGCCACGAGGAAATAGACCAGGGCTGGAATGAGCTCTGCAGTTTATTAGTTGTGAGTCCCCAGGTGAGTCACTCACCTCAGAGCCTTCCAGCCTCTTCCATCATCTGCCGGCCCCCCTGGCTCTGGTCTAGGGAGTGCAGCAAATCACCCTGGGTGCTGCGATGGGGTCTTCTGGAGGTCACTCCAGGTGGAGGGCTGGGCACCCTGGGGAAGGCAGAGGCTAGAGAAGCCTTCACAGACGAGACCCTCAAGCCAGGTTTTTAAAGGTACGCACAGTGTGCATGGCCAGATGGGCAGTGGGTGGGAGAAGGCGTTCCCAGGCACAGGCAACAGTGCGAGCAAAGGCCAGGACGGGCAACACGCAAGGGTAGTTAGGAAACTCTAAGCAGTTTGGTGTGATTTGAGAGTAGGGTATGGGTGGGAGTTTGGCCTGGCTGTCTCATCTCTCTCATCCTCCCACAGCATTTGAAGAGCGGTGGGGGGGGGCTGGCGCAGTAGCGGACTGGATGTTACTGGGATGAGAAGGCGGCATGAGGACCATCCCCAAGCCTCCTTCCTGGGTGCCAGGCCTCATGGGGCTCTGGGCAGATGCAGAGCAGCTGCACCCCAACCTGGGGGCGATTGGCTTGGACATAAATCGTTCTGACATAGTGGAGGACCACCCCCTCTTTACCCATCCCCATGACTGGAGCAGAAAGGCCCGTAAGGACCCCACTCCCCACTGGCTCTGCTCTCTCTCCTGTCTGTTGTCAGGAACCTTTGGAAGGGCTGGTCTTCACCTCCTCACCTCCCCTCATGGCTCGACCCACTGCAAGCTGCCCTCCACCCCTGACTCCGCTGACCCAGCTCCCAGAGGCCTAGATGATGTGCACACACCCTTCCCCCAGCTCCCACCAGCCCCTCTTCTGGGCTCCAGGCAGCCCCTCCCACCCCGTCCTCCTTGTTCTGTTAAATGGAGATGCTCCCAAGGTCAGTTCTAGGCCCTTCCTTGACATTAGCCTCAGCGGCCACATACGCACCAGGACTCCTGAGTTCTTAGTCCCCTCCTGACCCCCAACCCCATATCCAGCCACCTCCCTGGTGTTTCCACTCTGGATCTTCAAAGGCATCAAAA